TTTTCCTTTTTTTCCTCATCTTTCTTCTCTTATTCTTCTTCCTCCTTCACCATCACCTCATGAGTAAGCAAAGACCCAGTAAGCTCATCTATATTAAGAGTCTTTAGATTCTTTGCTTTAAATATGGTGGCCTTCTTGGATTGCCATGACTTGGGAAGACTATATATCATTTTCCTAACAAGCATCTCATTAGGAATGACTTCTCCAAAGCCTTTGAGACCATTGACAATAACCGAAAATCGATCGATCATGCTTTTAATATCCCCATCCGGTCTCATCTTGAAGTTTTCATAATTATGATTAATAAGGCTAATCTTAATTTTTCTTACATCATTAGTTCCTTCATGAGTAACTTCAAGTTTTTTCCCAAATCTCCTTGGCATTGAAATAAGATGAAACCCTTCCATATTCATCAGGGCTAGGTGCACAAAATAGAATGTGTGCCTTTGTATTGAACTAGAACAATTTCTTTTCTTCTTTACTCTACTCCTCCATTTCTCTAGTTGGAGTAGAATGTTTTCTTATCATGATGCTTCAAGCTCTCAAATCATTTGCTTGAATGAAAAACATCATTATATTCCTCCAATAGACATTGTTTACTCCATTTAAGTAAGGAGACTTATTGATAGGTTGAGAATCATTGACAACGTCAAAACTTGGTGTAGTTGCCATGGATGACTAGATTGATGACTTGACTCTTCGAGGATCTTCTCAAGAGGTGGTAAAACCTTTCAATGAGTCTATATCTAATACTAATTGTTGAGTCAATCGATCAAGGAAAATGGCCAAGAGGGGATGATCTTGGCAATAAAAATTTGTTGGAAGCTTAATCAAGAAAAAAAATTGACACAAAGGATTTTAGAGTGATTCAACTTTCTTAATGAAGTCTACATCCACTGCCTTAGCTTCCTAACTAAGGATTTCAACAAATTCAATAATTTATTCTAACCTTTTAGGATAAGGTGTAACCTTACACAACACTAAGACTTATACCCTAAAGTCTTGAGTGTTTAACCCCTTCCCAAGAAGTAATTACAAATTGAACAAACTTTGAATATCCTCACAAAGGTAGATTATTTGCAAAATGAATCTCTCACACGCTCCAAGAATACTAGAATAAAATTACAATGAATGGATTAGTGTTCAATGAAAGAAATACACAAACTGAATATGAATTTGGCTCTATTTGTTCTTTGATTGTTGGAATAGCTTTCTTGTCTCTTCTTGGCTATTTGAATAATTTATATGCCCTCATTTATTTCTATCCGTTTGTGGGTGTTGGAGGGAGTTTGGAGCCATTTGAAGCATTACATTCGCACATTAAATGCAAATATGCATAGAGGTTTCGAACCAACTAGGGGATTTCAAAACTCTCCGTTAAAAATTTTGACCATCGAGTAGGGGGTTTCAAAATCAATAAGGGGGTTTCGAAACCTTAAGGCCAATTTTAGCTACTACCACAGGGGTTTTGAAACCACCTAAGAGGTTTCGAAACTAGACTAAAAAAACTTTTAAAATTAGCCTTGTTTCATATTGCAAAAATATTTTAAGACTTTATAAATTTCAAACACATATTTAAATTTAGTTTTATATTTTGATCCTTAAAAATTATTTTTACAAATTTGAAAATTCTTGAACCGAATAAAAATATTAATTTTATAAAAAATTTAATTTAGTCTTTTGGTATGTCAAACTCATTTAGTTACATTTATCATTATCCTTGAATTTTTCCTTTTCATTAGTGATTGCTCCTCACTAGTTAGTTCGACTTTCTTAACATTTTCTTTCTCCACATTAGCCAACTCCGTACCACTACGTAATATTATAATCTTGCAACGCTCTTTGTAGTGTTCCTTCCCATAGGCTTGTACAACCTTAGTATCGCTTGGCGGTGCTATGACATGCTTATCATGTCCTCAATGTTGGTTGTCTCCACAATATACATAATTCAGTGCAACAACTTTAACCACATGAAAATTGGGTGGTTGTTTCGTTGATTTAACAATATTTGCTAGTGACGACATTTGGGCTATCAATGTTGTGATTGCATCTACTTTAATGGCTCCAACATTCCTTCTTTTTATGAGAATAATTCTTACAGTAAGGTATTGATAGTCATTGTTAGTTGTCATCTCTAAAATGTCAATTGCTTCAGAATGATCTAACAATGTTTCGTTGACAGATGTGTAGACAATCATTCTAATGTGATCATTCAATCCTTTATATAACATTTTAATTTGCGTAAAATCTTTAAAATCATGCAATATACATTTCAAAAATAACTTTTTAAATATTTCCCACGTCTCATATAAGTTTTCATAATCCAAATTGGTGGAATAATGTATATCATTACATTTGATGTGGGCAGATTGAATCATAAAAGAAACTTTTGTGCAAGTGTATTCCATATCGCAATGGAACCAGAAGGCAATGAGTTCATCCATACCTTTGCTCTGTCTTTTAAAGAATAAATTTTTTTTAAAGAATAAAGTAATACTTTCAACTTTAAAAATAATCGTAAATGCCATCGGTTCTTCTGCAGATAAACCATTAAAGTATCTCATTGAACCATTAAAGTATCTCATTGAAGGATTTGAAATATAACGAGTTTAAGCTTAAAATATGTAACTTGAATAGCATGTTTGACCATGCCTAGATTAAGGTCATCGAGAATCGACACCACATGACCTTGAATCGATTGATTCCAAACTTCTAAAGGATATCGTGGTAATAATATTGGATGTATTCTTTGTTGTACACCGTCATTACCCTGGCCAACAATTTGACCATCAACTAAAGTTGGATTGTTCACGTTATATCTCTCTTTGTTTCTTACGTAATAATCTCCTAAAAGTTTTGTCCATCTCATGATTAGTAGAAAACACTTCGTTGTCAGTGCTTCGAGTCATGCATCGAAAGAGGTACTATATCTACAAACATGTATCATCACAAAAGAAAATATAATCAGATAAGATTAAACTAAAACGTTAAAGTTAAAACTAAAGCTAAAAGAGTTAATGGCACTAGAAATAAGAAACAACCAAAACTAAACCCCGACACTAGTGCAATAATTTGATGTGTCGGATGATGTATCGATTAATTTAACAATATTATGTATAATCATACACAAGTCGTTTAAATGGACACAAAGATTGTCAGATGTTGAATCCACAAGGACTGGGTTACATGCAAAATAAATCTATCAGGTTAAGTTTGTTTTAACAAATAGAAGAGTATTGCATTGACATTTGTGAGAGCAAATAAATAAAAGAGTATGTGAAAATTTCAATTAACTCTTGAATCTTAATGGAAAAGAAAAGAAGAAAATGTATAATAGAGATAAGCTCCCAATGAATCGCAATTCCCATACCAAATATGTGAGCTTCCACTTATATAGCTCTTCAAAATACACTTACATCGTTGTGGCGATAGAGTCTTTACTCATGCGATAATGAGTGTACAAATTACATAGTTCTATCGCGACAATTTACCAAAGCAAAATAGAAAGAAACATGTGAAAATCACTTTATTGGATGAAGTGTGATGTATTATGAAATGTTGTGTGACGAACTTGAATTTATAAAATTATAGGGGACAAAAAACATATTTTCAATAGAAAATACATTAAAAATATAAAATATATGATAATTCTAAAATTTCAAGGATACGACCGCCCCCACCCTCCCCTCCTAGGTTCATCCCTAGTTGTATAAATCCTAAGTATTTTCACTAAAAATAACCTAAGTTTTAGCAAATTTCTAAATATAAAAATGCTATAATATAACTCTTTTTGGGGAGTTATCAATCGTATAAAACTTTAATCCTAATATATATTAAAGTCACAATAATAAAGTACATCAAAATCTTATTTAATACATAATATTCTAATAATAATAGACATCCTAAATACTCATAATAATATACATATTTTTAGTTGTTTCACTATATTTTTCTATTTATTACAAATACTAAATACAATAAATAATATTTATTATAAAACCTTAAGAGTATTATTTTTAAAATATCATAATAATTAGTTAACATTATTTATATCAATACTATTATTAAAAATATTTTTTATTATTTATAAATAAAATATTTAGTATAATATGTTTTACTAAAAGAATGGCACGAATCGATCGACCTCAGTGATAAACGAGTTATTGTTATTCCTTATACTTATCCCGTATTAATTTGTTTTTATTTTGTTTTGATATTCATCCAATTTTATTCGATTTATTTTGAAATTTGTAAAATTATCACTAAATTTAAGTTTTTATTATGTTTTTATTTTGTTTTGATATTCATAAAGTAAATATCGAAGAATGTGTAGAAAACATTATTATAGATAATTTTCATGATATCCTAATAGTTAATTGGATCACATGTCTCTAGATTACGACTCTCATTCTAAGTTGATCTCTAAGCTTTTGAATATTTTAATTTTATCTTCAATCTTTGATACTCATTCGAAATTAGTCTTTAAAATTTTAAATATTCCAATTTCATCCCAAACAATGACCCTATTCTAAATTGGTCCATAGACTTTTAAACCTTACAATTTCATCCCCAAATTAATCCAAATATGTAATTAATTTTAACCATATTAAAACCTAAACTTTATTTTTTTTCAAAAATAAAATAATATAACTTGACCTAATGATTTTATTAACGTGGAATGTGATTAGTATGTATATATAATTTGGGATGAAATTGAAATGTTGAAAATGTTTGGGGATCATTTTAGAATGAAGGACATAGTTTAGGGATGTAAATGAAATATTTAAAAGTTTAAGGATTAATTTAAAATAATAATTATAGTTTATGGATGAAATTAAAATATTTAAAAATTTAAAAATCAATTTAAAATAGAAACCATAATTTGAGTACGTAAAGTGCAATTAACTCATATATACTAAAAAATGTAATTTTAATTTCCTTTTATTACGCTATTTGCGCCATTATTATATGTTTTTTTATACAAACAGTTTCTGTTTTCACATTTCTCCATTGTCTATCTTCGGAAAAAACGTCCGCTTCTCCTGCTGTATGCGTACTGCAATCGGTCAAAGTTTTGGCTTTTCCTCGAAAACCCTAATTCCCCACCATTCTCCCAAATCAATACCCTGAAATATGGTTTTTGTTAGGTACCGGATCGAATAATCAGGCTGGAGTGAGACACTCTTTCGATCATCGCCATGTTTGAAGCTCACGTAAGCTTCTATTATTTTTATTTTCCTTTTGATTACATTTCTTTCTCAAGTGAATTAGTGATTCGTTTACTGTGTTTTTATAGCTTCATAAGTTTTTGGAAGCCAATAAATTTTGTCAGCAATCAAATTTTTATAGGTTTGTGAGTATGTAAGTTAATGATTTAGATCGGAGGAATCTAATTTATGGGGTTTCTCTTAATAAAAATGGTTTTCACAGTGATATGTGGGTTGCGAGGTTATCATCACGCAGGGCGTTATAATAGCAGTGTACATGATAAGAGAAGAGTAACGAAACAGACTTAAATTAGGCATAAATTTAAAAAGTTTTCAGTCGGAATGTTTGTTTCTAAATGATATCAATGTATCCGATTTAAGTAACTTGATTAAAGATATGTGGGTTTTTGGTTTGTATTTGATGTCTGGGTTCTTTCATTCAATCATCATATTTCCTCGAGATATTTATTTATTTTTGCAACTGTTGAGCCTTTGAGCTTATATTTTTGTTTTATTACTTATAATCGTTCTTCTTGACATTTAATCCTTTCTGCAAGTACCCTGTGTTTACCCATTTCTTTTGGGGCTTCTGAATTTGTTCATATTGTTCTATGTTTATAGGTTCTGCATTTGCTTCGAAGATACTTGGGGGAATATGTTCATGGTCTCTCATTAGAGACTTTAAAGATCAGTGTTTGGAAAGGTTTTTTCTGCAATATTATTTGATTTTGTTTTGTTTTCTTACTGATCTTTTTTATCATCTGTTTGAGCTACGATTGTTAAATGACGTTTTCTTATGAAAGCAGCTTGGGACATGAACATGCTGTCACATTCTTTTTACAAATTTTCTTCTTTTTACAGGTGACGTTGTCCTCAAAAATTTAAATTTGAAGGCAGAGGCCCTAAACTCTTTAAATCTTCCAGTTACTGTCAAAGCTGGTTTTGTGGGCACCATAACCCTAAAGGTGACTATGTTTTCGATAGTGTATGTTTTATTTTCTATTAGGTTTATTTCTGTCACTTCTTCCATTGGACAACTTGGAAAAATAATTCCTTTTTTGATATGATAGTTTTTAATTGTACTTGGACAAATAATGTTTTTTTTCTCTCTTTTGAAATGTGTGTTTTGTTCTGATTATTTATGTTCATATTCTTCTTTTGGAATTTTATGTTGCAGGTTCCTTGGAAAAGATTAGGTAAAGAACCTGTAATTGTTCTTATTGATCGTGTATTTGTTCTTGCTCACCCAGTTCTTGATGGCCGGACTCTCAAGGTAGGATGATATTCTATTTGAAGAGAGGGAATTTCTTTTTAATTTCCTTCTACTTTGATTTGGGATCTTATTTCAATTTTGTATAGGAGGATGATAGGGAAAAACTTCTTGAAGCTAAAATTCAACAAATTGAGGTAAACCTTTAGCATTCTATCAAATATGCTCTTCAACTTATAGCATGTGTGCATAGTGTTATTTTGATTCCTTTGAGTATATTCTTGTTGAAAATGTACTGATAGGGAAATGACAATTCTTTCGATGCCAAGTTTGTGATTCTAAACATTTTTCCTCAGCAAGAATCATTATTGTAGTGGTTGTTTCTATCAAATGCTTAAAACATTCATGGTTTTGTGATGTTTCCCTTATTTGTAGCAGATTAGACATCCCTGAACTAATTATTGTAAGCCTGCATGGTTGTTGTGCAATCATGTAGAGTTGTGTGCTTAAAATGTTATATCTCACAAGCATTTTTGTAATTTGTTGGCATGCTATATATTTTGATTTTTAGTCATGCATGATGCATGAGTATATTTTTTTGATAAAAATTGGAGGTCTCATTAAAACCCCCCTTCATAATTGTCGATATACCATAGAGGTAAACTGACAAAAAGCAGGAGGAAAAGAGTACCTCAAGTATTATTAGAAAAAGGGTTTAAATCAACCTTCAAAGATACAACCAGATCATAAAAGATACACCATTACAAGAATCAACCCTCTATGATGCATGAGTATATAATATTTAACACTTATTCTATTGCCTGCAGGAGACAGAATCTGCAACTCTTGAAGCAATATCTGGGTCAACGGAGGGAAATGTATGGCTATGGATGCTAAAAATGTTTTACTTTCTCTTTTTTTTTTGATAAGATTAGAAGGCCTCATTAAAAACCTCCTTCTTGATTAATGGAGTTTGAAAAGAAGCTCCTTAATCAATGGAAGGAGGAAAAGAGCGCCTTAGATTTTCATTAAAGAAAATAAGATTACAACCTCGATAGACTCTTCGAAATAACCCTTACAACAGTCTATAAATCCCACCCGAACAGGAATCAAATGCTAAACTGAAACAACAAACAACATAAAAATTAGCCTATTCCAGCCTTTGCTAAAGCATCGGCGTCCATATTAGCTGACCTTGCAACCCAATTTATAACCCCCCCAAAAATCTAAGATTGTCAACTATATCACTAACAACGAATGCATAAACAACTGGGCATGAATTGACATTGTTGATCCAGTCTACTGCAACCCTGCTATCACTCTCAACAATCAGCCTATCTTTAACCCTCCCTTGAGCAGAAGCATATAATGAAATACCCCTCTAAATAGCTTTAAGTTCGATCATAGTCGGAGGTCCCGGACCAGCTGACGCTTGAAAAGAACCTAGGACTGAACCTGAATGATCCCTTCAAATACCTCCTATACCCGATTTCTTCCAGTCACTACTAACGGCTGCGTCCACATTCAATTTAAAAAAACCAGAAGGGGGAGGTACCCAAGGGAATGAAGAAGACTTCATAAAACTGAAGGGCGAGTAGGAATATGCTAATGAAGGATCCATAATCAAGGAATCCTTATGAATAGAAACGTCCTTGTGCTTAGCTAGAAACCAAGAAGCCAACCTAACTCGTGATAAGAAAAATAACTCTAACTGATCAAGCTTTACCCCTTCGAAGACAATAAATTTTCTGGCCTTCCAAATGGTTCAAATAATAGCCCCAGGAATGAAAGTCCAAATAGAAGAATTTGATTTCAACTCATCCCAAGCAATAAGAAAGGTTCTTGCATCAGTAGGAAACACAGAACTAAATCTCCAAAAATTATAAAATTTGTACCACAAAGCCCATGCAACCGAACATGTAAAGAATAAGTGCGTGGAAGTTTCCTCAACCAATTTACAAAGAGGGCATAAATCATCCTCAATACCTTGAACACCTCTTTTAATCAGTTCGGATTTAACAGCTAGCTTGCAAAGCACAACCTGCCACATTAAAGATTCAACTCTAGGGGGTACCAAACCTCTCCAAATAATGTTATTCCAGAAGCAAACATCATCTGATCCTGAAGCTCAACTTTTAATACTAGAACTGACTGAAAAAACACCATCCCCACTGCCTTTCCAAAGTAAAATATCACTGGAATCTTTAGACAAAGAATAGGGAGAGATGAAGCTCACCAAGTTACACCATTGTTCAACCTCCCAATCATTTAAATTTCTTCTAACATGAACATCCCAAACCCAGCCAGATGGAAGGAATTCCCCAAACTCACAAAGTTTACCAGATCTATTAGAAGAAACCGAAAACAATCTAGGAAAAAGAAACTGAAGCGGATAATCTGCAGCCCAACTATCTTGTCAAAAACGAATAAGCTTACCATTTCCAACATAAAAACTACACAAACTTCGAAACTTAGAGCCAAAGGAGTCTTGTTTGTAATGATTGTTAATCACCGATCTCCAAAGCCAAGAAGATTGAGGAGAAACCTTGCTATCAAACAGTAACCTTGAAGAATCAATGTTGTATTTGCTACAAATAAAATTCCTCCAAACAGAGTGTCTCTAAAATACATTTGAGGCTATTGCCAACCTTTTGTATTGCTAATATGTACCTTTATGTTCTTGCTAAAATCTTGCTGGATGGCTCTTGATATGTTAATTGTCATACTTGTATATCCTTCATTTGTTTATGCTAGTTTGACTAATTTGATTATGTTCTGTTTCTTCTACCAGCTTATGTATATTGGAGAAATTGTTGCTTTTTGCAAATTTTAGTCACTTATTGTTAGCTCTTTCTTTCCCCTTCCTGTTTGAGTTGTGTTCGCAGCCTGCTGGAAATTCGTGGCTTGGTTCTTTGATTGCTACAATTATTGGAAACTTGAAGATAACTATTAGCAATGTACATATTAGATATGAGGATTGCATCAGGTGGGGATCATGTTCATTTTTTTTGGTTTAATTTGTCTGTTTTTGGATTTGTAGTTTTCATAACCTTTGTAAGCTAAGATAGTGCTTCCTTCTAACACTCATATGCATATTTTTCTTTCTTTACTGATTAGTTTGCTTTTGTATAAATGGGCTGTAACATTGTAGCAATCCTGGCCATCCATTTTCTTCTGGTGTTACACTGGCTAAGCTTGCTGCTGTTACAATGGATGAGCAAGGAAATGAGACCTTTGATACCAGTGGTGCTTTAGATAAATTGCGTAAGGTTAGCTCATTTTTATTTGCCTGCCCTATTAACATGTTCTACTGTCCTTAGAAACATTTGAGAAGGGTATAAATAATTTTATAAAACAAGTCAATGGTAAAACACTATGGTTGTTTCTTGAAATAGAGGTATTGAATCCAAATAGTGTGGCTTGAAGTTGCATCCCAAACTTTGGGAATGGTGATTATTATGTCTGGTAACTGGTTGAATTGTTTCTCCTTGTTTTGAAGTTCTGATTTATTCTCAGAATTTCTCAAGAGAGAAACATGTTTGAATAAACTTCATTCCAGTTTGTTAAAGGGTGATCTACTTTTCAAGTCATGATGGTATAAGTTTCAATTTTTGATGTTTCTACATTTGTGTTGCTTGCATGATTAAGACATTGCCTCGAATTCAAATGCGTCGCAACAAATATATGAATCGATTAATATATGATCTATGCTCCTCAAGAGGACGATATGTTCTTTTTGAATGTAGACTTTAGTTAACCATGATCGTAATTGAATTTCCTCAGTAAATTATGGGGTTGGACAAACATGAGATGATGGGAACTTATTTTCTTCTCTTTAGAATTCTTGCAACTCAATTCATAACCTTGATTATTATTTTGGAGGCCATACTATATTTGGAGAGGTTGCTTGCATGATTAGGACATTGCCTCGAATTCAAATGCGTCGCAACAAATATATGAATCGATTAATATATGATCTATGCTCCTCAATGAGGACGATATGTTTCTTTTTGAATGTAGACTTTAGTTAACCATGATCGTAATTGAATTTCATCAGTAAATTATGGGGTTGGACAAACATGAGATGATGGGAACTTATTTTTCTTCTCTTTAGAATTCTTGCAACTCAATTCATAACCTTGATTATTATTTTGGAGGCCATACTATATTTGGAGAGGATTATTTGGAGATGATGGGAACAAATACTTGCACGCCAAACTGAAGATTATCTTAAAAATGTCGTCACATTTAATTGAATGAGAGAAAATGTTGGGACTTGGGACCATACTCCTTTTGAATTCTTAAGTTTTTTTATGCTTTGGCTTTTAGGTTTACCCTTTGCTGGTTTGTCATAACTGCTGCTGCTGATGCTTTTTTGTTTTTGAATGACAAGAAAAACATGATTCACTAATGCTTGTGAAGTTTATGCTCAGGCTTTGCAACTGGAGAGGCTAGCTGTGTATCATGATTCAGATAAGCTGCCTTGGAATTTGGATATGAAATGGGAGGATCTTAGTCCCAAAGAATGGATTGAGGTTTGGCTCTTGTGTGGCATCATAATCTCATTCACTTCCATAGTTCCATAATTTTCATTGTGGTAACATGATGAAGTTTAACTGAAACTTCACACTAAATTTTACATGTCTCATCTTCTTGCTAAATTGTTGTTTATCCAGGTATTTGAAGATGGTATAAATGAACCAGCTGCTGATTGTGCAGTGGTGTCTAAGTGGGCAATGAATCGTAATTACTTGGTGTCACCAATCAATGGAATACTCAAGTATCATCGGCTTGGAAATCAAGAAAGAAATGATTCAGATATTCCTTTTGAGAAGGCTTCTCTTGTCCTAAGTGATGTTTCCTTAACTATCACTGAGGTCCTATACTTAACTTTTCCCCGTATATATATTTAATTTCTATTTCTTGAATAAGATAGATTTAAATTTGTCTCCTTTGCATTGTCAATCAAGAAATAATGAGAAAGGGAAAGGATTCTTCTACTCGAGTCTTGAAATTGAGCTTCTCCCCCTTTTACAGGCACAATATCATGATTGGATAAAACTTTTAGAAGTTATTTCAAGATATAAGACATATATTGAAATTTCCCATTTAAGACCCGTGATGCCAGTTTCGAAGGAGTCTTATTTCTTATGGTGGCGTTATGCAGCTCAGGCTACACTGCAACAGAGGAAAATGTGGTATAGATTACAGAGTAATCCTTTTATAAATATTTGCATTTAATAATTATTCTAGGAGTATCTCTTTTTATAAATATGTCTTTTGATAATCTTTCTTATCTGTTGCTTCTCTTTCTCATCTGCTGTTAGAGTAAATATTTTCCCCCATTAAAATGTTTATTTATTTCAGCTATCGGTTCTCTTGGGATCGAATTTCGCTCATGTGCAAGCTTCGTCGGCGTTATGTTCACTTGTATGCCAGTTTGCTGCAACAGTCATCAAGTGTTGACAAGTCAGAAGTTAGAGACATTGAGAAAGATCTTGACTCAAAAGTAATTCTTCTATGGAGGTAAGAATGCTTAGCTTTGCCTAAACTTTGCTTTCTCTCTTTGAAATAAAGTAAAATTTGGTCATTACTGGTACAATGATCTGCATGCTGGACGCCCTAATCTTTCTCTAGTTTTGAAAAAAAAGCATGGTTTAGTTGAGTTGTTGTATTGTATCGTAATTATTACAAAAACTTATCTAAGCTCAAGTGGCAAGTGGCAACTAGACAGGGTTTCTTATTGCGAGCGATCATGATCATGCATTATCAATGGCAAATCCTCCAGGATTTTTTTTGGGGGGGGAGGAAGGCCTTCGAGAAATTAATTAATAATGGTAAAATACAATTATAGTCACTTCAAAATTTAATTAGTTCAATTTAGTCCATATTAGCCCTTCAATTAATGGGAAGTTTCATTTTTGGTCCCTCTCAAGAATTAATAATTCAATTGAAGACATTTTAAATCAATTTTTTTACCTCTGCCCACCACAAAAAAAAATTCTTAGTCCCTAAGAAAAGTTCCTAGTTTTGCCCCTGTGCATTATTTAAATAATTATTGCATAAAGTTATTAGTCTTGGAGGCTGATAACTTTAGGTTTGTTTTAGGTAAATTAATTTTTGTAGTCTTATATTCGGTGTATGGTGTAAGTATTATAGCCCCCTATCAAGAATTAATAATTCAATTGAAGACATTTTAAATCAAATTATTTTTACCTTTGCCCACCCCCAAAAAAATTCTTAGTCCCCAAGCAAAAATTCCTAGCAGTGCATTATCTAAGTAATTATTGCATGAAGCTATTAGTCTTGGAGCTTGATAACTTGCTTTAGGTAAAAACTTAAAACAAGTTATCAGCCTCTAAGACCGGGATTTGTACCGAATAGAAGAAAGTATCTAGCATCAGAATTCAAGGGCTAAATGGGTCAGGATGGTGATCGGAACTTGAGGTATTTTCACATTTGTGCGTCGAACAGGAAAAGGATAAACTCCATTAAATCTCCGAGAATCGATGGGAAGAGAATCTCAGATCCTAAGTTGATTAGAAGTTGTATCTATTTTTTTTTGATAGGAGTAGGAGGTCTCATTAAAAACCTCCCTCATAGTTGCCTCTTGATAAGATGCAACTAGCGGAAGGAGGAAAAGAGTACCTCAATATATTAGTAAACCCGAATTACATAAAACTATAACTTACAAAATCACCCGAATTAAAATACCAAACATAACCGCTAACAGTAAGGACATTCAGCCTATCCCCTCCTTAGCTAACTTGTCCGCCTCCCAATTACAAGCCCTAGGAATCAACCTAACCATAATATCCCTACCCGAAATTACATCCCCAATTTCCCGAACCAAAGAACTGAAGAACGAAGGAGCCTCAGTAGGCCTGAAAATCCAATCCACTGCAGTCTTACAATCACTTTCGAGAATAAGTCTTCCCTTCGACGCCCAGTCCGAATGTAGAAATAGATCAATTCCTTCTTTAATGGCTTTTAACTCAGCAAACAGAGGAGGACCAGGTCCGACAGGCTTAGAGAAATAGATCACGGTAGAGCCATTCGAATCTCTCAACAGACCTCCGATTCCACCCTGCAAACCATCACTTCTAACTGCCCCATCCACATTGAATTTATAAAAATCAGGTGGAGGTGAGTACCAGCACAGATCCTTCTTCTTCTTCTGAAAATTGACTGCTAAACCATCTGCCAGCCTTGGATCTCCTATTAGTAGATCTACCTGGATGTTGTATCTATGATTTTTTTAAGAATGCCTAAAACAGGATTTCCTCCCTTGAGGCCGAGGAGATGAATCTTAATTTCTCCAAGTTGTTTATCGAGCAGGCTGCCTCCCTAGAAAAGCAATTCTCGAAAGAGGAGATTTGGGAAGCCATTTCTTCTTCTGATAGCAATAAAGCCCCTAGACCGGATGGGCTTAATATGGGTTTCTTCAAGAAATTCTAGCCAAATCTCATGGATCTTATTCTGAAAGTTTTCAAGGATTTCTTCTTGAGCAAGAGGTGAGAGTCTGGGATCAACCATGCTTTCATCACCTTGATTCCAAAAAAAAAATAAAAATCCGGATGGGTTGGAGGATTACATACCAATTAGCTTGGTGAGAGGCCTTTATAAGATCTTATCAAAGGTGTTGTCTACGAGATTGAGATCATGCATTAATTCTATTATATGCCCCACACAATTTGCTTTTATCCCGGGTAGACAAATCCTTGACTGTTCCTTTGTATCGAATGAAGAGATTGACTATTGGAGGAGGAAAGGTTTGTAAGGTTTAGTGTTGAAAGTTGATTTCAAGAGGGCTTATGACTCCATTGAATGACCAATCCAAATCCGAACCATGAAAGAGATGCTCGTGATCGAATCTTAAGCATAATTCTATTATTTGGAGATTCATTCCGACTGTCATTTTCTGGTCAATTTGGAAGGCAAGGAATCTGGTTGTTTTTTAAAATGGAAAGTGTGACAGTATTGTTCTGTACTTTATCACTAGATTTAGATTAGCGAAATGGTTCTTAGCTAAACACCCTTCGGTTCGGATTCAGACAGACCTTCTAGTAAGGGACCCTACGCGGGCTGATCAATTTCACATAAGTACTAGTACTAAGAAGGTTATTGGTTGGTCTCCTCCACCATCGGATATGTTCAAACTCAATGTTGAAGGGGCAGTGACTGGAGATGGGATGCAAGGTGGTATTGGTGGTGTTTTGAGAGACTCTTTCAGCTGCTCTTTAGCATCTTTCTCTTCTGCAGTAGGGCCTGGTCTTCCTACTTTGACTGAACTGAAAGCTATTAAGGAAGGAATGTGTTTTTTCTATTCTTCCGATTGGGCTAAGAAGGGAAGACTTATTATTGAGAGTGATTGCAAATGTGCAGTGGATTGGATTTTAAAGCTGCAACCTGCCCCTACTTTTTTCAGTGATTTGGTAGAGAAAATTGGAGCTCTTGTTACTGCTATGGGCGTCGTTCTTAGATGGATTCCTAGGAGTTGTAATTTGGAGGCTGACAGGTTAGCTAAGCAGGGGATCAGTTGAGTGTTGCAGGCTTATTGTTGTACGGTTTTGTGTTTTTCCTTTGGGTTTTGTATTGGCTTAATCCTTGTAATAGTTTTGGTAGTGTGGTAAACAAGACTCATCCTCTGATCTAGGGTTCTGCTTTGTTGTTGTAGATTAAGTTACTGTATTGGTTTTTGGATTGTTTTGGGTATTGGTGTTGTAGGTTTCTCTGAGTTAGATGGGGGTGTTGTCCTAGTTGTTTCTTTTGTATTTTATGTTGAATAAATTCCTAAGGCACTCTTTTCCTCCTTATGATTAAGGAGCTTTCCCCAAGCTCCATTAATTACGAAGGGGGTTTTTCTTATCAAAAAAAAAAAAATATGTATCTCATCAGCCTCTATTTCAGTTCTTGTTAATGGATTGCCTACGGAGGAGTTTTCGATGGCTAGAGGTCTTCGTCAAGGCTGCTCCCTTTCTCTTTTGCTTTTCAACTTGGTAAGAGAGGTGTTGAATCTGATGTTGGCAAAGGCAGTCAACGTAGGTTTATTCAACGACTTTCTAATGAGCAGATTGGAAAATCCCTTTTTGTTAATCCACCAATTTGTAGATGATTTAACCATCTTCTACAATGCCTCGAGAGGCCAAATCATGAACGTTATAAGAGTATTGCGAGTGTTTGAGCTGATTGGGTCTCCAATTGAATTGTTCTAAAAGTAGGCTGGTTGGGATCAATGTCGATGAAGAAGTCCTTAAAGAGTGAGGTTTAGCTGTAGACGTTTCGATGGGTCATTTTCCTTCTAAGTACCTAGTCTTGCCTCTCGAGACCAATAGAAATTTGAAGGCTTTGGGGGGGCTTGTAATTCAAAAATTTTACAAAAAGCTTGCTAAATGGAAGGCTGCCACTTTATCACTGGCTGGAAGATTAGTGCTTTTAAAATCTGTATTGACAGCCTTGCCAATTTATTATTGTAGGAATTATAGAAATATATGAGTTGTTACCATCCCTTCAGTTAAGGGATTCTGTAAATATTCTTTTTTTACAATCCATTATTTTTAAGGGATCATATCTCTTAGGATTAGTATCTTTCCTAACTTAGAGTTTCCTAATTTAGAGATATATTTTGTATATATAAAGATGCAATATGTCCTATTGAATAAATAAGAAAATACAGAGAATTACTCTAATTTCTACATGGTATCAGATTAGGTTACGGTTTCTTTCCAACCTAGACCATGCCTGCAACTTCTTCTCTTACATCTCCTACTCCGGAGATCACTTCAAATCCATAAAATCTTTATGGTTCTGTTGCTTAATCAGATTCATCTGGTCTGACTGTCACCTGCCATCGATTGAATGACAACTTTCTTGAATGGTCCCAATCGGTTAAGATTTTTCTCTTAGGAAGAGAAAGATTGGTCTACGTTATTGGTAAAATCAAGAAGCCTGCTACGACTGACATTGTTTTTGTTAAGTGGATGCGTGACAATGGTCAGGTTATGACTTGGCTCCTTAATTCCATGACCTCGAGTATAAGCAGAAACTTTCTTCTGTACACCACAGCCGTTGAAATCTGGAGTGCGGTCCGCGAAACCTACCCCAAAACTGATAACATTTTCGAATTATATCATATTGAAGATCAGGTAGCCACCCTAAAGCAGGGAACCATGTCTGTCACTCTCTACTACAATAACCTTACCGCCCTTTACCAGCAAATTGTCACTCAGCAAAGGCTTTTTCAATTTCTCCAAGCCTTAAAAAAGGACGTGGACCAGGTTCGCGGCAGGGTCTTGACTATTTCTCCTCTTCCCTCCCTTCGAGAGGCTTTCTCTATTGTTAAGAAAGAAGAAAGTCGAAGGTGTGTGATGCTGCCTGATGAACCACATTCCCCTCCTGAAGGATTTGCCTTACTCACCCATTAATCATCTCCCACTTCCAAACGGGGGAGACCTTGGTGTGATCATTGCAAAAAGCCCAGCCACTCCAAGAACTGGAAGTCCAAGAACTCTCGCGATAATAAATCA